TGGTGGGGGGGGTGGGGTGGGGGGGGAAGAATGATTAGGTCACTTCTTCGAGTTTGCTTAACAAGAACTTCTTTCTTTCCTGTTTCTGTGGGGTGTGTGGCGTTCTTTGTTAGTGTGCTGAGCTGTCTTGTTTTGCTGCAGCTTCTTGTGCCCAAGCCATCGTGTCAAAAGACGTTCGTCTAGCGTTTGCCTTCATCATCTTGCTGCGTTTGGCCGGGGTCTCCTCAGAAGCCGGTGTGTTGCCTGCAGCCGACAATCCGACAAATATTTTTGGGGAATTATCCTTTGGGTGAAGAATAAATAGACTAAGGACCCCTTCCCCCCGTCGGTTTTTGAACAGAGAGTTCATCATGCGGGTCCTAGGCAACATGCGGTCTTGAACATGCCAGTGTGTTGCCTGCAACCGAAAAACCAACAAATATTTTTGGGGAATTAACCTTTGGGTGAAGAACCGACTAAGGACCCCTTCCCCCCGTCGGCTTTTGAAAAGAGAGTTCATCATGCGGTTCCCAGGCAACATGCGGTCTTGAACACGCCAGCGTGTTGCCTGTAACCGAAAAACCGACAAATATTTTTGGGGAATTAACCTTTGGGTGAAGAACCGACTAAGGACCCCCTTCCCCCGTCGGTTTTTTGAAAAGAGAGTTCATCATACGGTTCCCAGGCAACACGCGGTCTTGAACATGCCAGTGTGTTGCCTGCAACCGAAAAACCGACAAATATTTTTGGGGAACTAACCTTTGGGTGAAGAACAAACTGAGGACCCCTTCCCCCCGTCGGCTTTTGAAAAGAGAGTTCATCATGCGGTTCCCAGGCAACATGCGGTCTTGAACTTGCCAGCGTGTTGCCTGCAACCGAAAACCGACAAATATTTTTGGGGAATTAACCTTTGGGTGAAGAATAGACTAAGGACCCTTTCCCCCCACTGGCTTTTGAAAAGAAACTTCATCATGCGGTTTCCCAAGACCGCATGCTGCCTGGAACCGAAAACCGACAAAGGTTTGTGGGGAATTAACCTTTGGGTGAAGAACAGACTAAGGACCCCTCTCCCCCGTCGTTTTTGAAAAGAGAGTTCATCATGCGGTTCCTAGGCAACATGCAGTCTTGAACGTGGCAAAATCCTTGACACACGATTATTGGGGGGCTGGAAAAATGAGCTTCTGATAGCAGCGTGCCAGTGGGATTCGGGAACGCAAGAAATTCCCTACTGTCTCGGCGCATTTTACATGAGGGACAGACGGGGCTCACCTTTCCCCCCTGTAATCGCAGCTTCGACAGGTTGCTCCAAAGCCAAAAAACGCACGATATTACACGGGCTACTACGGGTGGTGTACCTAGTTTGTAGCCAGGCTTGGCCTACATGTCTTCGCCATTCATGCCAGTTAAGCTTGCTCTTTTGGTGCCGTGGAGGGAGGTTTTCACTGGACCGGATGAGATGGTATTGGCATTGCATGAGGGAACGTCGCACTGTTGTTTATTCTGAGAGAGGGGCACGTTGTTTGCCGCTGCCCCTTTCCTATTGGACGATCTTGATGCAATCCCTCGCGCAGATTCCTGCCTCAACCTTTCTTTTGAAACTCTTGTAATCAGGCAACCCTTAGTTGGCGGTTTGGATTGATGGCTTGGGGATTTGAACCTCTGGCTTTTGCAGAGGGTTAATGGCAGCCCCCTCCTTTATCACCACCACCAAAGCGCCAATCCAAACCACCCATTAGTGGGATAGGATGGATTGCTGCTTCATTGCAGTGGAACGCCTTTGTTTACCACAGTGGCCACTACAATTGCGAGCTTACCGAATGAGTGAATGAAGCACTTTGTGACTTTGTGAGCTTGTTGTCTCCTGCCCCTAGCAGCCTGGCTTTTTTTTGCATGCAACATAAGTCAAACAACGCTCAGATCAACCAACCTGCTTCAATCAATAAGTAGAACATCATACGTTGCTTCCAGTACTTCTCTCTCCTTTCGCATTATAATAGAACATCATATTGCAGCGCGCATCATTCGACCAAAGGGGCAGTACCAGGACGATCAACAGAAACTTCTCACTTCAAAACATGCCCCAAAGTCAGGAGACCCAGGCAAATCCGGCCATGTGCGAAAAAGTCAGCTGCGCCCCCCCCATGGAAGCCAAAGCGGGCATGTTTGAACACGACAAAAACCGGCCCCCTTAGGAGCTTCGAACTTTCAATTGAGAGGCGATTTGTTCCTAAGATTATGCGGAGCTTTGACCATGGAGCGAGAAACGCGAAGAAGCAGGGCGATGGAAGATGTGGGGTGACTTAGCAATGATACTTCCCGTCCCTGGCCTGTCCCAGTCCCATGAACACATGATTTTGGGATTGAGGTGGAGCCCCCAAACGACCGCCTGAAGGTCCGTGATCATTCTACTGGTAGATCTTTATTCTAATTACGAAAGTCACGTGGAACTCACATCTGATGTCTGAGAGCTCGCCAATGGGACTGCTTCGGCCCCTTCGATTCGGTTCCTTTTGGATTCGAGGCTGGAGCATGCCGTGGCAGAGCTTCGACGTCTGCCCTACCGCCCCCTGCAGTCCTTGAGGATCTCGCGGGAGCGGTTCTGCTTGCATCCCTTCGTGCAGCAGGCATCCTTCTCACGCGGAGGTGTTTCGCCTGCGTTTTTTTGGCCCTCTAGGTGGGTTCCTTTTCAATCTCTTCCTTTTGTTGTTCCCGTTCAGCATTAAGTCGGGTCCCATGGGTCCTCTCTTTTCTTGGGGGCATGAACCACTGGCCACTGGAAGCGTAGAAGTGCAACTTTTAGGGGTTGATTTGTAGACCAAGTTTGATCAACAGAAGTTTAGAAACAACTTCCGTGGTATTGCAACTAATTTTTAATTGAAACCTAGCTCTCCGACAGATGACATGAAAAGAATAAGCACGCGGCAAAAAATGGGTTGCGCGTGTGGTGGAGAATGAGCATGTCAAAAAGAACAACCCTCCGCAGGTTTCAGGGTGTTGGGGTGGCCGAAAGTTTGCCTGATCGCCACGCCTGGTCGGAGCACGTTCGGCAGGTTGGGCACGTTCGGCGCCGGGACAACTGGCACGGCGTGCTCAGTAGATGTCGTTGCAGGTGCATGGCTTTCGCCCGGTCATTTGCAGATGTCGTGGCAGGCACGGCGCTTTCGCACAGGCAAGTGCGGATATTTTGGGAAGACACTGGGCTTATGCGTGGTTATTCGCAGACATTTCGTGGCGCAGAGTGTGTGGCAGGCGCAGCACTTTCGCAACGGTCATGCGCAGAGAGCGTGGCAGCCGCAGCGCTGTTGCAAGGTGAGGTGCCGACTTCCTGGCAGGCGCAGCAGTTTCGCAAGGCAGGTGCAGGGCTTTCGCACGGTCATGCGCAGACGTCGTGGCACGCACAGCGCTTTCGCAAGATCGATGGATAGCTTGGTAGATAGGTAGGTGGATCGATAGCCAGAAAAAGAATTACATAGGTGGATAGACAGGTAGATAAGACGGATGCAATAGTCAAGGTTGGTAGATGGATAGATGGATGACTGGATGGCTAGTGATCGATAAGATAGGTGGGTAGATGAGAGAGGGGGAGAAAGATAAGTCAGAGAGACAGTTCGATAGATAGGTGGTTGATAGATCAAGTGCATGCACAAATAGAGAGGCAAGAGGATACAGAACAAGAACAGTGCAAGACAAAGGGAACGACGGGAAGAAACAAATAAGGGCGGAAGGAAAGAAAGAATGAAATCAGGTAAGGAGAAAGAGGCAAGGAAAGAAACACAAAGAAAGACCGAAACAAGGAAGGAACGGACACAAAGCTTGAAGGAAAAAACAGAAAGAACGAATAAAATAAAAACAGGTAAGAAAGAAAGAAAGTGACAGAAAGAAAGGAGACAAGGAGGACACCGTGAAAGAATAGAGATGAAACAAATAAGTAAAGAATTACATAAACAAAGCAAGAAGGGCAAACAAGAATGAAAGACGGCGTGAAAGAAGAGAAATAACAGAAAACACGGTATCGATGACAAACAGCAGAAGACAGAAGAAGAAGAAGAAAAATAAGAAGAATACACTAGATAAGTACATAAATAATAACATAACATATAACTATAGTTTGTCTGTTTTCAATACATCAGCCTACCGATTTCAAGGACTGAGCTTATCAAAGCCGAAAGTTACCAGTTGAGCTTCTCAAAGTTGCCAGTTGCCCGTTTCTGTCGAATCGGGTGAAACCTGCGGCGAGTCGACCTGCTTGTTGCTCTAACCGAGGTGTGTCAGGCTGGACTGGTAAGTCTTCTTCTGTCGTGTTGGCCCCCTCATTTTAGAGATGGGCAAGATGCTTTATCCAATGTGGCGAATGAAATGATCGTCAAAGTTGGTTTTGTATCGCAGGATGGGCTGTATGTATGTTTAGTTATCTTGATACCTTCTTTTGGAATGATGGCGTCCCACAGTTCCGCACAGGGGTAGCAGCTCATGACACGTACAAGCCTTACTGTCTTGAAGATTTGTTCGCCCGGCTGGGCTCTTAGGCAATCCTTGATCTTTCTGTTGGACTGCGGAGGTGAAATCGCCTACTGATTTTCCAGGGACGGACCAACAGATTGAATTTCCAAAGCAAACCAGTTTAAAAAGAGCCTTTTCAAGAGCTTTTAGCAGGGCTTCGCAGAAAGCCACCGAGTGTTGATTCATGAATGGAACCTCGGATTGGATCTCCATAGCAGACGCCTCAAGTTGGCCTCCGAGCTCCAGGCCATCGACAAGTCTGCAGCTTGCGAGATGGCCACAGTGACGAGGAATGGCAATGCCCTGGGAGGCTCGGAATTTCACAGACGCCATCCAGGTTTGCCTTGGCGTAAAAGGGAAAACTAGGTCCCCCCTACTAAAACAGACCACAGACAAAAGGGTACCCTTATCATGTCCCAGTTTTGGAGCCAAGTGGCAGCTTCGCTAAGAACTGCCTGCTCTGTTGTTTGCTTCTTGACCTCCAAGAGGAATCGAAAGGAAATCCATCCAAGGACACCAAGGGAAAGTTTGATCGATGGTCACCAGTTGTTCTGCCCGCCATGGCGAGTTGACAGGTGGCATTTCCGGGTGCGTCCACTTGGACAATGCGGAAGCCATTGGCTATCCGAGCACCGCGACTCACCGTGCAAAGTTCGAGGCGGCAGGGTTCATCACCGATTTCTGTTTTGTTTGGCCATTCAGCTGGAAATCCCCAGTGCTTTTGCCGATCTGTGCTTGGGCTCTTCCAAGGATTTGGAGTTTTAAGAAACGAATTGGGGAAATTGGGTGGGGGAGAAGTTTTCGCAACGTTTGAGTGGTGGACAATCCGGGATGTTTGATGTTGGGTGCTCCCTCACCTTCAGTTGTGCTCTTTCATTACTTGAGGGACAGCCTGGCTTTGCTGGCCGCTGTTTGTTTTGATTCAAGCAGTGTTGGGTTGGTGCCTAAATGATGTCCTTTTGGGGCGTTGATTTTCCAACTCCCCAACCTCTTATTTTCTGATCCCCATTGCCACCTGTCAAATCTTGCAGCTTGTGATCTCGAAAACAGTTGCCTGGGAGCGAGCAAGCAACTCAGGGCCCCAAGTAGCAGCTTCCAAACTCGGTGAATCGACTTGATTCTACTACCAGGCCTATTTGACCACCAACGATTCCAGGGGTACCTTCCCCATTCTTTCCAGGAATCCTTCTTTCCAGAAAACCTCCGGAATCCCAGGGAAAGCGGCTCGTTCTTGAAAAGAAGGATGGTTGAAAAGAGTGGCGAATCAACCCCTAGAATGATGGTTCTTCCCCGCAGGCAGGTGGGAAGCTTGCGGTGTATGACATCGAGGACTTGGTGAAAGAGGGGCATGACACCCACACCTGCCCTTACCACGCAGCCATGGACTTGACCAATGAAGGCCCGTAGTGAATCAGTTGCCCCAAGCCCTTGCTTTATTTTTGTCACCTTTGTGCTTTTTCATTTCCCTCCTGTCTGATCTGTCGGGTTCAATGCTAGTGGATAGGCGGGTATTCCTTTCAACCAGCGCAGAATCTCGCTTTTTGCAGGATGTTTGGCCCAGAACCATGGTTTATGTTTAGGAAGTGGGGACATGGCGAGAACTTGGGCCCTTGTTTAGATGATCAAGGACTCGTGCGTGCCCCTCCATGCGTTCCCTTGGGCTAACCTGCGATGACACATGTCCGGCGCGAGTTGGCGCGAGGGATCCCTGTTCAAGAGCTGACCGGCACCATGGTGCTGGGGGAGAAAACAAGCAGCTCGGGCTTCTGCACAGACCTGCCATAGGTCCAGGTCCGTAGGTCCAGGTCCATAAGTCCAGGTCCATAGGTCCATAGGTCATGGATGCGAGCTTCAATCCAGGTGGCGAGCTTGCATCCTGGTTATTGCGCTCTAACGAGCAAGAACCAGCAAGGGTGGAGCATGGACGGGAAAAGGACAGGTTCAACTTGGCGCTAGCCCCGGAAGAAGCACTTGAAATTGTGAAAAGGTAAGGATAGAGCATCCTGCCAGGTCAAACATACAGGGGCCACAGCATGCCAGCTTGGACTGAAACTTTAGCCTGAAGGCAATGGTTTATCGAAAAAGGGGGCAGCGCCATCCAGGCCAAACAAATGGAAATCGAACAGCTTTCACCATTGTTTGGCAGGCTGCTTGTGCGGCATCATGCTACCACAAAATCCAGGGGAGCAAGAGCTGTTCATGGAAATATCCACGATTCACAATGGGGTCGCGCTTTGGCACCAGACCACAAGTGACAAGAGGACTAGCACGGCTCAGGCGAGAGTCCGGCTAAAGCTTGCCACACGCTCACCACAGGAAACCTTGGCCCCTAAGGGCCAAGAATAAATTTGCAGCTGGCGAACCACAGCTTTGGATGCCTCGGATTTGCTCATTTCATTTTTTGTTTTTCTGGTATGGCAATCCCCTCGTGCACTCGTCCAAGAAGCCAGCCAGCATAGCTTTCTACCGCCCCTTTGCCGCGGTCTCTCGCTGGCTTTGGCGAACTTCTTCGTCTCGCAGGCGCGGGCATCGTCTTTGCCACGTACCCCCAGATGTTGGACCCCTGCGTTCGGGAGACCAGCAGCTTCGACCAAGTGCTCCAGGACAGCGTGCTGGTCATCGACGAGGCGAGAAATATCGCCATGGACCCTGCATTTACTTTTTTTTTGGCTTGATGGTGTTGAATCATTCCCAAGAGGTTAGGCGACAGGTGAATTTCTGTGTGACACACTCTTGCTTACTTCGGATTAATCCAGAGGCCGTTTTTTTGGGGTGAGCCCTCTTGAATCACATTTGCCTGTGTAGGTAAATCCGGCTGAAGCATTGCTATTGGCTCTTAAGCCAATTTCTCAGGGAACTTGCTTTGCCCCGCGAGCGGCTCTGTGTTTAAGTGTTTGTGATTGTTTGTGCGCGTGCGCACATGTTTGGACGATAATGCTGATTCCATGGGCCCAAGCTCTCCAAACATACTTTCTCTTTATCAGCCCAAGGATCCCACTGTTCCACACCAGTCCCCCCCAACTTGCCTGTGGCTCCCCCCCCCCCCCAGAAGAGCCTCCATGAGGCCCACAACGTGGCGCAAGCCGCCCGGGACTGCAGCAGCTTCCGCGGGAGCATCGTGGACTTTGCGCCTCGAAGGGGCAATTCGGGATGAGGGTTCTACCTTTTGACTACCCCCCAAAAAGAGTTAATCCCAAAAGTGGTTGATTTCCCTACAAGCAAAACCCCTGGGTTTCAGTCTACCTTGCGGTAGTCAAAAAGTAAACCCTGGCTGGGAGTGGTGGCAAAATGGGTGCGTCTTTGTGAGGGCTGGGACCTCACCAAAACGGAAATTTTGGGTGTCCTTTAGTTGTCGTTTTTTCTCTTTGTAAGGGCTGGGACCTCCCCAAAATGGACATTTCCGTCGGTTGTCCTTTATTTTTGTTTCTTCTTCTTTTTTGTGTGTGTGTTTTTCGCTTGAATAAACCGCAAACATGTGGTATCCTCAAGAGATAGAGAGAGAGAGAGAGCGAGACACCCACATGGGTTTTTTTGTTATTCCCCTGGAGGGTTCTTTTCAGCATTGCCTTAAACGGAATCCAAGAAGAAATCCACGTTTAGGGTGGCCCTAATTTGACATATATGCCCTAACTGGCTTAGTTCCATGCAAATCTTCCATGCTTGGGATTGGGATCTCCTTTTGTCCCCCATTTTCGGGAAACCAACAGCATGGTTTAAACCACTGCTTGAACAAGTGGGCTTCAGTGAATGGGGGAGGCCAGCAGTTCCCCAACTTTAGCTGGCTTAGCTCAAAGTGAGCTTCATTCCTTGTCACGTTTTGCAGGCTTCGCTGTGCTGGCTCTAAGCCTCATTTCGTGCGCGTGAAATGACATTTTGGTGGCTGGGCCAATGGCCGGCGAATACCTGGATTTTTTTTGAGGAATCAAGGGGCCTGGTGAAGTTGACAGGGGGATTGTGGACACTGACAGTATTTTTTGTTTAGTGCTTGTTTTTTTTTTCTTTTTCCCCAACAGCTGAAAGCTTTGGGGTCTCAGCCCAGATAGGCTCCGGGGTGGTTCGGGGCGACCCTGAGCTAAGGTTCCACCAGGGTTCCACCAGGGGTTCCACCAGGGGTTCCACCAGGGGTTCCACCAGGGTTCCACCAGGGTTCCACCAGGGTTCCACCAGGGTTCCACCAGGGTTCCACCAGGGTTCCACCAGGGTTCCACCAGGTTCTGCAAGGGCGGGGTGGTCTGAGGTGGTTTGAGGTAAGGTTCCACGAGGGTTCCAGCAGGGTTCCACCAATTTCTTCGAGGGCTGCGGGTTTGAGGAAGGTTTCACGAGGGTTCCGCCAGGGTTCCACCAGGGTTCCAGGCTGCGGGGTGGTCTGGGTGGTTTGAGGTAAGGTTCCACGAGGGTTCCACCAGGGCTGCAGGGTGGTCCGGGGTGGATTGAGGTAAGGTTCCACGAGGGTTCCAGCAGGGTTCCAGCAATTTCTTCGAGGGCTGGGGTGGTCTGGTTTCAGAAGGTTCCAGGAGGGTTCCACCAGATTTCCACCAGAATTCTGCCAGGGTTTCACCAGGTTCTGCGAGGGCTGCAGGGTGGTCCAAGGTGATTCCACGAGGGGTCCACCAGGTTTCCACCAGGGTTCCACCAGCCCGTCGTGCTCCGGACGAGGGTTCCACCAGGGTTCCACCAAGTTCTTCGAGGGTGCGGCGTGCTGGTTTGAGGTAATGTTCCATGAGAATTCCACCAGAATTCCACCAGGTTTTGCAAGGTAAGGTTCCATTCCAGCACAGTTCTAGCAGGGTCCCACGAGGTTCTGCGGGGGCTGCGGGGTGGTCCGGGGTGGTTTGAGGCAAGGTTGTATGAGGGTTTCAGGGTTCCACAAGATTCTGCGAGGGCTGTGGGCCCTGAGGTTTCACAGGGTTCCACAAAGCTCTGCAAGGATTCCACACGGGTTCCACAAGGCTCCACAATGCTCCACCAAAAGTGTGTCGTGCGCCCGTCGTCTGAAAAGCCATCGGATCAAGATCGCTTTGCTCATGGGCGGAACACTAAGCAAAACCAAAATCAATGGTTTTTAGCGCACTTTCACTGTTTTGTGACTTGCTCACTTGCTCAGGCAAATGTTGGCTTTGTGGCAAATCAGATCACGTCGCTGCGGCACTCACGCAGAGTAAATGCTTGGCATTGCTGCTTGGTGGGCTTGGGGTTCCAAGAATTCTACGAGGCTGCGAGGGCTATGAGGTCAAACGCCAAATTCTGCAAAAGCTATGGGGCAGCCCTGAGGAAAGGTTCCAGCAAAGTTTCACGCTGAGCTCCACGAAAGTTGCGTGAGAACGGTTTGCGAGGTTCACCGGGCCTAGGTCGGGGCCCGATTGCACTGTCGGGGCCTTTGGGCCCGATCGGCCCCGTCAATTGTACCAAGCTGGCGTCGCCTAGTTTTGCTATAGATACAGTTGCAATCCGCATACTAAGGAAAACCGGCGTTGAGCTATAATATGGGTGGCTGGGGTTGCACCACGGGACGATCGGGGCCCGATTGCACCGTCGGGCCCCGATCGGGCCCCGATTGCACCGTCGGGCCCCGATCGGGCCCCGACTGCACCGTCGGGCCCCGATCGGGGCCCGATTGCGCCGTCGGGCCCCGATCGGGCCCCGATTGCGCCGTCGGGCCCCGATCGGGGCCCGATTGCGCCGTCGGGCCCCGATCGGGGCCCGACAATTACCAAGCTAGTTTTGCTATAGATGCAGTTGCCTTCCGCATGCCAAGGGTCACCGGCGTTGAGCTATAGTATGGGTGGCTGGGGTTGCACCACGGGACGATCGGGGCCCGATTGCGCCGTCGGGCCCCGATCAGGGCGAGATTGCGCTGTCACTCGTAGCTTTGCTTTACAAGGCGGCATCCTCAGCAACACCGGCGGTAAGGATGGTGCCGGGGCGTTCCGCGAGGATTCTGGGAGTTATTTGTTCTTTTTCCCCAACAGCTGAAGGGTTCCACCAGGGTTCCACCAGGGTTCCACCAGGGTTCCACCAGGGTTCCACATGCTGTTGGGGATATCACCTGAGCTTATTTTTTTTAACTATCTGATATTTGTTTGCTACATAGACTAGGTGTCCATGGCACCAGGGGTCTATTACGCAGCAGCGGGGGCTGCTTACGGCCTGTGGGAAATGTCCCTCGGCCATCAAGAGCGTCGTCCACAGTGGAATGCCAATGCCATCAGGCATGTGCTTCTGGCCAAATACCGATTTAGAGCGGTTGGAAGGGGAGCCATGGCAGGGTCAGAATTCGCCATCAACAGATTTCAATCGCCCTTCATAGCCCCTCTGTGAAGTTTGAGAAGTTGCAACTGCTTTCGGAGTCTTGTCTGTTGCAACGCATGATCTTCAGACGAGGCTTGCGCAGTGAAGGCTTGCTTCACCACACAAGAATCAGTACTCTTGTTTGATGGCGGTCAAGGGGTGCAACAAGAAGACTGTGGCCAAGGCCTGGCAGTCAAATGGCGCTAGTTTTGAGGGTAAGTTAGAGCGAAGGTGTTACCTTGTGTCCGCGTTGAAGACTCGGGCCTTGATATCTCCAGAATCTTAACTGCCCTTCGCCATCAGGCTTCCTGTGAGCCCTTCCAAACAGAAACCTAAGGCACCAGGGTCCAAAGTTGGGACAGGCTTTTGACCAGCCACGCCTGAGGAGCATCTCATGTCGAAGCTTCAAGGCCTGGCGAAGGCAACCGCGGAGCAGGAGGCAGGTGTTCCGCCTGGATCCGGGGATTCCCAGTAAGACCGTGGCCTCCATGGGTTTGGGTGTGCCATTCTTACAGGCAAGCCGCGGCAAGCCCCTTTTTGGCCGGATAAAGCCCCCCCCATTTTGGCCCATATTTTGAGCCAAGCTGATTCATGTAGACGTCGTTTCGACGATTAGGCAGTTCGCTTCTGACTACAGCCATCCTTGGCACATGGCCCAAGTCAACTGGGTGAAAGGTGGGTGACAGAAGGACCATGAATCATCCCCTTATAGTTCATATTTTTGTCGTTTGCATGCCATCCTCCTTGTTAGCCATGGCAGGCTGAGAAACAGTGAAACTACTAAACTACCCAAGCCCCGAGTTTTGACAGAGAAGTACCTGACATGGACAGAAGCAATGTACTGTACTGCAGACCAGTTTCCATTTAAGAGAGCCGGGTAAGCAGCCAACCTCGCTATTTGTTTGCCATTTTAACATGTTTGTTCAAGGTTCCCAAGGTTAAATCTGTTGTTTCCTGGGTTATCATGTCATCACTGCTCAGTTCAACTTTTTCAGTTGGGATGGGGTCCTTGTCAAGATGATAGCCAAAAAGGAGTGGCATGCATGTTTGGACCAGCACCCTCCAAGCCTGCCGTGCTCTTGTGTGAGCCATTTTGGGTCCATGTTTGGAGCCTCCCTCCATTTGGTTGTGGGTCAAAATTATCCCGCCAAAAAAACCGTGGGTTTTTGCCTTTGTTCCATTTGGCGGGGCAAGCCATTTTGGGGTTGCCCATGGTTGCCCTATTTTTGACCCACAGCCACATCAGACTCCTGGCAACAAAAATCCAAAACCCACGCCTGCTCGCGAACCCATACCCATTTCAAGAACCCATCTTCCGGTCGTTTCCTTCCTCGCCTTGGCAAGTCGCCTCCCCAAACCCCGCAGGCGGTGGACTTGGCCTCCCGCGTTTGTGCCGCGGTGACGCGGCTCCGAGCGCCTGGGCGCATTGCAAGCGCCGGGGTTTGCGGTTGCTTGCTATATGCACGTTTCCTATTTTATGGCCCGCTGACATGGGGTACGACGAGCTTATGATAAGCTTCTTGTTGTTTTATTATAGCGAGCTGACTATATGGCTGTGGTTGTCAAAAATAGGGTACCCCCCAAATGGGTTGCCCTAGTAAGCGGAAACATGGACCAAAACCTGCGGTCCAATTCCTGGTGGTTTAATTTTGACCCATTCCCATATGCACCTTGCCTATTTTATGGTGCGCTGACCTGGGGTACAACGAGCTCACTCTGCAAGCTTTTTGCTATTATAGCCAGATTGTAGCGAGCTCACCGATCGGGGTACGAGCGAACGCCATGACAGAGTTTTTGTTTGGGGGGATCCCTGATTTCAGGTTTTGGATTTGTTGTTAAAATGTGCAGAGGCATGTGGGGCAATGCGGACTTGGCTCAAGTTAGCGCTTTATTGAGCCCGCTCCCTGGGAGAAGTGTTGGAGCTCCGAGGGCTGTGAGTCGTGGCATGACCGCGCGCAGAGAAGTGGAAGGAGACATAGGCAGCAGCACTTGCAGGGAACAGGTAGCTCTCCATATCATTTTCAACAGGCCTCAGAGACCTGGCGTGTGCACCAGCCTGAGAAACAAAGAAGCGAGCATGTCAAGAGTTGGGCCAGGTTCCTGTAGGCATTGCCTTGGCCCTATTGGGCAAATTGGGGCTGAACCTTCCCTGTTCCCTTCTTGAAGGGAAACCAAAAGCTCGAGGTTGTGTAGAACATAGTGGTCTAACCCCTGGTTTGAAGCAAGGGGCTTGTATTTCCTGCCCCCCGGAGCGACGCGTGCCCCATGCTTCGCAATGGACCGGGCGGTGAACATCCGTCGCCCGAGCTTGCGGTCGCCCCGCAAGGGGCCCAACCCGCAAGGCCTTGTGAGGCACTTCCTCTCGGAGGCCCGGGAGGTTTGGACTTGATTGTTTTTTTTGGTTGAGCCTGGCGGGCCCCTGCATGCAGAAAGTCCAAGGATTTGTTCCATCAAACGCGGGCTGTCGGTTTTTCTTTTTAGGGGTGGGGTGGAGGTGTTGCAGGCAAGTACTGACCTCTTTGAGCCTGGGGGGGAACGGTTGGCATAGAGCAGTCAGGAAGGGAGCTGTTAGTTCGAGCATAGGGATTGACCATATGGTTTATATTTTTTCACATTTCGGAGTCATTTTATGGTATGTTCGGTGTGCGGGCCCAGCCTTGCCTCTGCAGAGTTTGGGCAAGGTAACGTTCAGGGGACCCGAACGGATTCTAATATATTCCATGAAACGGGGCTCGATCGCTGGCTCACTCGGGACGATCATGTGCGCAGCATCCCATTTGTTAGAACAGGCTCACTTAACAGGTACCTTCAAAAGATGTTTTATGGCAACGGTCACGGGAAAAACAGGGTGGTGCTTAGCAGGGGATGAGACATGGAATGATATATAAAAAGAATCATCCAACTGGTGGTGTCCTTTATTTGAAATTCCCCAAACAGTTCATTCCCTCATTCCCTACGGAGCACGAGCAAGGAAAGCCAGGCTGGTTCTTTGCGTGAGTTGCCACCCTCCAGCTTGCTTTCCAGGAAAGAATGCCTATTCAGAGGGCGGGGTGGAACTTGCACTGCACAGGTCTCCGAAACCATTCTACGTGCCTGGCTGATCTATTTTGACCCAGAGTACAAGCTGCACATTACAAGCGATCAATTTTGCATGGGAATGGCCACCCGGCATGCAAGGGTCAGCAGTTGGTTGATGGTGCATCCTGCGAGGTTGGTGCCATCGAGTTTTTGCCGTGGGGCTGCTGGGCTTCGGGCTGCTTCTGGCTTTTTGGCATGCTGGCTTTGCGGCTTTTTGCCAAGGAAGAGGCCGGGTATGCGGGCGACGTGTACCTTCTTTTCCAGCGCCTGGATACCGACAACTCGGGAAAGCTGACGCTGGACGAGATTGATGAGGAGGCGGCCAAGCTGTGGCTTAACTTCAAGCTTCTTGGCAATCGGCTGGCCCTTGGACTGGCCCGCAAGACCTCGAGGGATAGACTGCAATGCGGCAATGGTTTCAACAGGTCCCAAGCACATTTTGAGCAAAGTTGGATGGCTCTGTTTGCGGTGGGCTTTTTTTGTACCTGCAACACCTGCTGAATGAACCAAGAACAGTCCGGGCATTTCGGACTATTTGTTCAAAACCGGCTCCCGGTGTTCCCTTGTCATTCTCTCTCTCTCTCTCTCTCTCCGTTTGTCTCTCGTTTGGTTTGTGATTGTGTGCTAGCCTCAGGCAGTGGTGCGTGCTGCAGTTTGAGAATCCCTTAGACATGGTCTACAAGCTCAGCCGTGGCAAGGACTACCTCGCGGTGGCCTGGCGGGCAAAGGCTTGAAAACGATCTCGCTTGAGCCTTTGATTCCCCACGAAACCCAGGGACACCCCCCCCATTATTAAACTGGGGTTGATGAATCTGGGGTCAATAGTAATGTCTTGCAAGTCCCTGCAAAATTTGAAGAGTTATGGTTTGCGCACTTCACGAGGGCACTTCACGAGCTACCGATAGTGCTGGATGTCAGGCCCGATCACTACCCAACAGTCCGAAGCCCTTTTGGAAGCAACATGGGACCTGGGCGTGTCCCGGATCGTTTCTGCCCACCCCCCCTGGTTGGTTTTGCGGAAAGGAGTCTCTAACCTGAAACACTCATAGCTGAAGGTCTCCAGTCCGCAGGACTCTGACAAATCGGTGAAGGGGTGAGACACGATTAGCCCTATAAGTGGCGTCATTCCATGTTGAGCACATTCATGGGTGCGTC